GGTGCTCTATTCGAACATAAAGCACTGTGCAAATATTTGTAGCTGATTGCTACCTTAGTAAAGCCTGACCGGCTCAGAAATCTCTATGGCAGATTCTCCAACATCTAGCCAGACTCCCAGAACCAGCTAAGCTATAGCCCAGCTATAAAGGAAACAGACGCGTAGCACGGAGCACGTTCATTCAGCGAGTATGTCGCGGATAAAGTGTGTATACGCGAGGAGCTACTCATGATCAGGATAGGGATTAGGTTAAACAAACGGAGGTTATTGATTGGTCGCTGTTTGTACGGTAGCTGCACACAGAGTTGTACGGCCGCACCTCCCAATCCTGGCATGCAGGCATGCGATGACGCACAAAGCGATAACGCGTCCCACACATTTGGTAACTCATGTTATTAAATTAAATGAAGGATTAATTCAAATGCATAAAATGATTGGAAGATCAATCTTTTAATCACAAATCAATTAGAAAAATAAAATAGGGACACTTTCGGGTGAAATAAGAAAGTACTCATTTTTCGTGCATTTGATTCCTCCCACACTTTTGAGGATGCAGTTTCTAGTGCATCTCGACTCCTTTCAGATTCCGTCGGTAGCTTAAAACAAGTTTGGGCAATTTCGACCACCCATGTCGACTAATCTAACCATTATATGAAACCGCTTGTGGCCTGGTACTTTATTTCGAAATGTCGGTCTATCATGTGCTCCCATCAACTATTTTACCCCCCGCCCTCCCTTCCATTTATATTCCTTCTTTTATTTCTAGCTGCGGGACAAACATCTCTTTGTCCTCTGCTATTGTAACCATTATCACCAAATTCACCACCACCACCACCTCCTTCGCTCCACTTCGTCATAGAGATGACGAAAATTCTTCAGCGCAGCATATTAACAGTAGTGAATCCTAATCCAAAGCATCCATTTATCAGTAAGATTTTCTCATTAGCCGATTATAAATATACACGCTGTCCTACTGAAACCCTGATCTTCATACTCTTGGGGGACCATTGTACTATTAACATGGATTCGATAATTGAATCATTGAGATGATGCCTAGAGCCTATTTTGATCTGATGAGTAAAGTAGCTTTTATAGACGCCTAAAATTATAAATTACTCAAACACTATCTAAAGAAATCAGTTAGTTTAATTTCTTTGCAGTAACAACAAAAAAACTCACTGCTGGTAGACAAGAAAGTATGAAAAAGACCACGATAACATCACTTCTATTCAACTGTAATTTGACATAAACATTAACATTGGAAAATGCCATATTCTATCTGCCATATTATGTAAACACATAGTGACCTAAACCACCTCCAATCGCACCATTTTCTGGAACACACCAAGAGGGTTTATCTTATTAAAACACAGGATATCAGACACAGAAAGCAAGTTTTAAAATGCTGAAAGTACACGAAAGTGAATTTACGAAATATGAAGAAAGATTACGGTATTAACTACTCTTCCTTTCTTCATTATGAGAACTAGTCTCCTCAATAATTAGAGCGAGTTGTTTCCTGAAAGCGACTGTAGAAAATTTTTCTTTCACATGCTCATGACTCGCCTGTTCCATTGCTGTTAACAATTCAGGATCATTAATAAACCTAAAATAGTAAAGTAACGTCGATAAAACAGACCTGAATAACTGTATCACATCAAAATATAAACTAAATAATCTACCTAGACATATATTCCGCAATTATCGGAGAAATTTCTTCGTTTTTGAAATGCCCAATATGCGGAAGAGGACAGAGAAAACCGGTCTTCTGGTCAATGACTGTTTCCCTTGGTCCTCCAGCATCAAGTGCAATAACTGGACGTCCAAGAAACATGGCCTCGACCGGGACTATTCCAAAATGCTCAAAGGCAGGAGTGTATATGAGGCACGTACATGCAGCAATTAATAAGCTTTTGATACTCGACGGGACAGAATGCAAGAGAATTGATTGCTCTGTGATCTAGAATAAACAACAATTGATGGGGGGGGGGAGGAAATGTCTTTAGGGTAACTTGGTTGTTGATGGAATTAATGAATCAATAATAGCTAACCAATAAGCAACAAACCTTCAAATCCGCCAATAGCTGTTTGAGCTCCTCGAAATATTCCACGTTTTCGCGCACTCGATCATCATATCCGCCCGCATGAATCATGTAAACTTCAGTGGGAGATATTGAAGTATCGCTTACTAACCTTGACCAGTTTTCTTTTAAATAAGCTGCAGAATAAAGGCACTCTTATTATCTTTGGAATAGACTACAAATAAACTTCGAAGAAATACTAACTAACCGAAGGATTCAAAGGCCAGTTCAATATTCTTTTTCCTTTCATAGCGATTAATAGAAAGGAAAATCAATTTTGGGTGTACACCAATAACGCTGTGAAGACAGCTGATTGCTTTATGCGCATCCGGTAGAGTATGTGATTTAGTACCTAGTTCTTTATATACAGAAGGGGGTAAGACCAAGTGATCAGTATTTGGAACAGGGTATAAGACTTTTAAATATCGATCTCTGAGAGAAGGGAAGGTTTCCTTGAATATACTGCCAGTAAAATGACTGTTTACTACGATTGTGTCGGCTTGACCGGTTGAAAACTCCTCTAGCAAATCAAGAGGATACCGGTAAACTTTTTGGAAGAAAGAGTCATGATGAGATAATAATAAATCAGGAAAATGCCCGTAAAATATGGTCTAAAAATTGTTATATTAGAGGCAATAAAACCTACTCTAAATCCACAAAGTCGCAGTAATATCAGGGGGGCTGATACTTGATCAACATAAACTAAGTTAGCCGAGCCACGCCGAGCAATTGCAATCCAAATCGCCGCCAATATCATTTTAAGGAAAGCCAAGACCGCAATAAATCTACCCATTATACTACGAGGTAAGTATTGGCAAACAGTAGTTATTTTTAGGGAACCATCTACAGTTTCCTCGAATGCGTGTTTTGGATCATGATAGTTTGTAACTATTTCGACATCATACCCACTAGATTTAGCCGCCAGTGCTGCATCAACGATGGCCCGTTCAGCTCCTCCAATACCCAAATCAGGATGCAGAAATATTACCGACATACGGCAACGTGTACAAAGCTTAGAGAAGGAACCCAACCAACCAATGAAAAGCAAGAGCGTCGCTACCTACAAATGTTAACTATTGCGCTTCTAACGCAGGCTATTTTAAATTAGAGGAGTTTATAAAGAAGAAATTGGTTTGCATCTCGGTTTTTATTACCTTTGTTAATTTATAAAATATCCTATTTGTTCAATTTCTTGTTAATTTTTGTTGAAAACATTTCCTAAAGCAATAACCTTGTAAATTATTATTGCAATTAATAATAAATTCTTTCTTAATGACCCATACACTTAATAAATTACTTTGATGATCATATTTAGAACTCTGTATTAACCCATCTACAGATTATTCTTGATATCATATTTATTGAGAAAGACTATGTAGTATAAATAGTAGATTACCTTACGACTTTTTTCAAATTAAAAATTCCTTTATCATTGGGTCTTATAGACGAGGATCGAAACAAATCAAAACAGAGGCACCAGCAATAGAGCAGCTTAATATGATAGCCAATACCCCACGCACGCATTTCCTAATGAAAGTGATACCCAATCGGTATTGGCTCAAGGAAATGGGCATATGTAAAAAGTGACTTTTGTCGTTGAAGATATGAGATAGAAAGTAAGTTTGCCTTTAGGGAAGAGGTATTGAAAACGAGGAGATAATAATGTTTTTTTCCTTAAGTAGGCGTGTTTCTATAACACATGAGGTGGTTGTTCGACAAGCGAGAAACCGTTCAACAATCTTGATTCCAAAATAAGCTGCTTTTTTGTGGCCTCATAATGGTCATTCTGACAGTCACCGATGTCGTGTTCCAATTATTTCCATTTATTACTAAGATAAAATCGTAACCCAAGTAACGAGGAAGTTTTAATTCCCATTGGAGTAAATAATATTTTTCACTGTATACGCAGTGTAGCAAGATAAATTAGACTCAAGAAATATATATATTTAACTTCTAAATACGGGGTGTGCGATAGACTTACCTCCACGTGGTGCACCCTGGGCAACGTATACTCATACGGCAAAAAAGTCTATTAATCGGCAGTTGACTTCTGACTTTAAACTACCATTACCCCACTCTATGTCATATTCGACCCCTTCCACAGTATTCATCTAGCCTTTTCTCTGCCTTTTGT